AAGACAAGCGGAAGACCCAATCGGTGACCTAGAAGAACCCCCCCACCGAGAGCAGGGTCTGTAAGAATCAAATCATACTTGGCATCGCGAAGTCTCTGCATCAGTTTGGTATCCTGAAAAATATCCTCCACCAGCTGAAGCTCCTGTTTATGCATCTGATAGAAGAGCTGTATTACATCAAGTTCTAGAAACATTCTAGTCCAAATTGAAGCTCCCTGGCGCCGCATGCTCACCATACTCATGATATAAGACCTAAACTGGTTCTTATCAAAAACAGCTGGGGGATTCATGGTGATGGCCTTGTAGTGAGGAGAGTCTGGCTTGATGTACCAAGAATCTGATTGGCGCAGTACTGTGATGTCGTGGCCTCGGTTGTGAAGCTCTTCAATGATGACTTTCATATTAATCCAGTGGCTTCCATCCACAGGAAACACCAAGACTTTCCCTCCATTTACAAAAGCTGATGGCTTCAGCAGGACTGTGAGTGTGAAGAGAGCCAGTCGGTACATCTCTGAAAGGAATTTATGACATGAGACGTCATGGTAAAAAACATGGCTTACATTCATGTTGGACATTTTAAATGCATCTGCAATCTGTTTTTCATTCAAGAAAACATCCCCAAAACACTTATATAAACATATAAAAATGTATTTCCAAGGATACCGACAAATTTCACCTCTTGTAACACTTGTGTTCTGCTCAATATTTGCACTACAGCGTCAGAGGCAGCTCTTGGTCCAGTTAGATGGAGTTCCCTCAGATACAACATACAGTGCAATGAGCTTTTTTTTGCTATCAAAGCTGTACTCAAGCAATGATCTAACCAGATGGATGGAGATCATTTAAATGCAAACAACACCACACAGCGGCTTCTCTGGTTACCTGTGCTGGCATCAAAGGTAGCATTAGAACAGGAAGTACAATCAAAGAACATGCAGAGAAGCCCTGCTCCTGCTGCCTCGGACCAAATCTCCCCCCAGCTGGCTCCTGCATATTCCACGGTGTGGAGGGACAGAAACATTGCTATAAAACGATCTCCTTCTGGCCAAATGGGGCTCTTCCATGCTGGATTACTGCATTGAAGCTACAGACTGTCAGATATTCTGGGAGATTTCAATCTCAGTTAGCAGGAGTACATCATCCAAACCATGATTCTGCACCATTACACTGGTCAGAAAGTCACTGGGAATCTCTTTATTCCAGTGTCTGGATCCTCCGTCATCATGTGGAATACCACAATATCCAAGTGACATTTATTTGGATTTGGCACAATATAAATGCACTTCCTTTAATTTTTAGATAACTTAATGGTCTTTGCAACACTGCTCAGCTGCTCTCAAACTGTCTCCAATAGTTTCCTTTTGAGTCTCATTTGAGTCTCATTTGTAAAACCACTGTAGCCTAAAGCATTTTCATGTCTCTGTCAGAAGACCAAGGCAGACTGCTCCAAGACTTGCATAAATTCTGGATTGTTTAAAGCTCATGACCAGTTTCTGGATTACGCAACGCACTGGGGAAATTCTTACTGTTAATTCCCCGGAATCGTAATGGAGCTGTTTGCATTTAGGAGACGTTCATCTTGGTTTAAAAGCTTGTTTTCACAGGCATATGCTTCTCAGTAAGGATACTGCAGATGACTCACAAAACAGAAGATATAAAAGCTGCTGTTTGTGTTTTTGTCGGCCCAGTTTAAAAGGTGAACTGTATCTGAATGGAACATTTTTCTTATACACAATGGAAATAGTTTTCTATATAAAACAAAGTAAAAAGTCTCACACCAAAACCTTCTAAAGGCTGTAGTTCTTTTCTCATATTCATGGAACCAAACTATAAGATGTGTGTCAGAGGTCTACCATAAATGCTTTCAACTTTTTTCTGTTTAACTAAAACACCATTTCTGACATTTCTGCTCACAGATTTTTTTATAAAAATAATAATATAATATAATTTAACACAAAAACCCTTTCGCTGCTTTTGTTTTCATGTAATCACTCACCGAGAAAGATTCAGTCACCAGGTCTTCTATGTTTCAACCAGAACTTCCTTCTGTCACAGCACACGTTGAAATAACTGACTGCTTTTCAGGTCTGACAGCCATGTCAGTGGGCGTGGAACAGAGGTAAATGGGCTGAAGTTCAACATGTGGCAGCTGTAAAAAACAAGGGATTCACTCACATGGCGAACATCATGTTTTGGCTTTAAATCACAACTTTTCCTGAAACTGCTCATGCCTAATTTGTAACATATTTGATTGATTTGTACTGATATATTTAAACTTCACAAACCCCGATATTTCTGTAGTTTTGATAACAGAAGAATTTATGTGTGCATGATCATTAGCATGCACGTTCAGAGCTTTAAATCTTTTAAAATAAACCTATTTGCTAAAAATCAGGTGTGGTGAAGCAGGGAAATATCTGAAACCTGTAGCAGCCCTCGAGGACCGGAGTTGGACCGCACTGATATAGATGAAAAATAATTTCAAACTGAAACAAAAATCTCAACAAAATGAAGAGAACTGACAACGGACTGATAAAAGCTGAGATAAACATTGATACAATAATAATAATCTGCTATCAAACACTTCAAACAGCTGATTACGTTTATCAAATATTTATTATGTATATATTGGTATTATAAGTTAAGCTGGGAAGTTTTAATTACAATGTACAAAAAATGAATTTATTTATATTGGAAAATCCATATACATATAGATAGATAGATAGATAGATAGATAGATAGATAGATAGATAGATA